ACAGACAGGCAGGTATCGCAAGAACACAACCCATGGCAACTGCTTTGGCCAGAACCACATTGAGCAGAATCTGCAGAGAGCTTGTTCTTGTGAAATTTCCAGCCCCATCTCTAGAACAATGGGGTATTGCTAAGCCCATAAGATTCAGATACAATTCTTTGTTGTTCACCATCCTCCCAGGCACATTCCTTAGGCCTATACTGCAGACAGGGGATGATGAGGCATTTATTTGGATGCTGGCCAATAAAACCTCCATGGCCAGAAACATGAGGCTGGATAGCCTTAGTATTTTTAATGTTCTTAGTACATCTGCAGAGCTATTCCTCATCCACATAAGAATATAACAGTTAAATCTGTACCTGATTTCCTATGTGGTCTTTGATGCCCTGCAGCAGTGAGTTTCACAAATTAACTACACATTGGTTAAAGACAGCACCACCCTGTATTTTTTTAATCATGTATTGCCATTTCATGCATTACAGTTGTTCTTCCCTCATGGGACAAGGCAACTAAGAACACTTTATTTCCCTATCCATGTCTGCCCTGGCCAGGTGGCAGATGTGGGCAGCTAAGGGTCAGCCTTTTACTTTCTTGCATAGGGCTATAAAGGAAAAAAAAGAAAAAAAGAAAAAAAAAAATCAAGGGAAGAACCCTCTCATTTCACATGCGGAGACACACATAGTCTCAATGCCCCTTGTTAAATATAACTAGACTAGTGATTCTCAACTTGTTGGACTCCAGGCACCCCACAGAAAATGCAAGCTCTTGGCTTTCACTTGTTTTTTTGACTATGGGAGAATATTAGAGCAATTCTGTTGCAAAAGAACTCCAAAAGCCCACAAAAGGTCAAAATGGTTTTGACACTATGGATTCCTGTTTGCAGTCTCTGGGTTTATCTTGTGAATTACATGGAGGTGTTTGCCCAACTGTGCTAATTTTGAGCGGGAGCCAAACCAGAGTGCCTTGTAACAGGCGCCATGGCACTTTGGTTGAGAATCACTGCGTCCTTGGAAAGCCGAGTATAATGGCTGGAGGTAGGGCATTGGGGCCCAGGCCTGAGTGACCTAGAGTGTGGGACACAGCCTCTGAATACACCAGCTTGCTCTCTGATCCCTGCTCTCTCTAGCCCCCACCCTATCCACTTTGCCAGAGCCCAGGTGCTAACATTAAGCCTTCAGTAACAACAGCTTGTGGCTAGTGCGCATGTATGAGAAGGAAGGATGGACATTACCAAAGCCAACGACAGAGTAAATGTTTACGTGGGCTCTTGATCTGCTGCTGAAGCTGAAGATAAACATTCTGAAATTACCCCGGACACCCAATTCAATATTTAAAGAATGAAAACAAACAGCATAGATCAAATCCTCCATGTACACGCCAAGGAGCCTGACTACTCCCTCCGCTCCTCTCCCCAAGAGCAGTTCATTCCAGGTAGGACCTGCTGGCTTTGGAGAGGAGCAGAGTTTTAGGCAAGGACCTACACCAGCCAGCTGAGCATGAGGCCACCCATCCCCCTATGGTTAGTGTCTCAGTAAGGTACATTGACTTCCATTTCCCATAGAAGCCTAAGCCAGGCCATCTCCAGGAACAACATTTGTGTGTGCAAGGCCCAGAGGATTAAAGAGCTTTGTTCAGGGTGTTTGTGGGAGACACTGGAGACAGCAAAAGCTAAAAACTTGACTTTTTGCTTTCTGCAGCTGTTAACAGCAGAGATGAAGCCTCCATTGACCACAGCTCTGAGAACTCCACGGTAACAGACTTCAGCCTCAGAGCTAATAAACTAATGTTACTTCTATTATCATTATCATGACATGCTTCACCGAAGTCATGAGCCAAGGCCCGGTTGTGCTAGGTGCTGTACAAACACAAAACGAAATGACAAGCCCTGCCCAACATCTGGTATTGGTGCAGAGCTCTAGGTGATCAAGGGTTATCAGTCCTCAAGCTTCTGATCACCAGTCAGGAGGAAATCCATCAGCCCTCTCTTGCCCCATCATGGTATGGTACTGTATGCAAGCAAAGAACATTTAGGTCACTGCTAACTGCAGAGCCCTTGGGTCCTAAATCCGAGCGCTCACAGGCAGCACCCAACAGTTGATGGCTCAAGTCGTGGCTTTTACCACGGAACTGGGAACTCCAGCCAGGGGGCTCTTCCCTGACCCCTCAGCACCTTTCTCACCCATCCGCAGTGAGCAAGAGGTCCAGAGAAAGGACAATGACAACTATTAACAAGCATGGGGAGAGGCTCCAAACATTCAGATGAATTCGTTTCCAGAGGAGATGAACACGAGGGAGAAGTATACAGTTGGCTGCATCTGTTTTTTCCCCCCGGACCTGAAGAATGGCACTCTGCCTCCAGACCAACTATACAGTTGGTCCAATAAAGCTGTTATCTTAGACCCTTGCCTGCCAAATGGTGTAGAGACACTCAATCCCTAAAGTCTGCGCAGCCCGGTCCTAACGCAGGAAAAAGCACTTGCACACATTTCAGTTAAAACAGCAATGAAAGTAGAGGAGGGATGTCATCAACCTGCAAATCATATTTCTCTGAAGGACTAACTCCATTTACAAGCCTACAATGACAGAAGAGTGGCTAGTAGGGAAAAGCAGCATCTGTCATTTCAGTTTGTTTATTCGAGGCGTCTGAGAGCAACTTCTGCACGGTCCATTTCATTACTTGTACTGAATAGATATTTCCTCTGTTGTAGAGAAGATCCTTGTAAACAGAGACAGATCAGGAAAACTCATGACAGGAAGGGCACACTATTAGTTACCGAGAGTCAAGAGAAAAGGATTTTGATCAAATGAACTAACCTAAAGAAGAAAAAAAAAAAATGAAGCTGATGATGTCCCTGTGGAAACTGTCATCCCCCGCCCCCATTACCATGACCAGCAGAGCTCCCCGCCTCAAGGAACTCATGAACAAAATGCTCATTAGGATGTAGAAAAAGGATTAGACATTTGTTAGGAATAATACTGACATAATCCAGAGGTATTCTAGCAAGGATAAAAACATATCAGGCATGTTAGCACTCATGATTCAGAACGCAAGCCAAAAGCTAACTGCTTGGTGTTAAAGAGGAATTTTCCTCTTAGGCGGGTGGCTGTACAGATAACGCCAATGGTAGTGGGGTGCCTTCCTCTGATCTGGGCCGGTGGCAGAGATAGGCGTCTGGACTGGAGAGTCTGAGTGGTATGGCAATCCCCGTGTCCCACAAAACCTTTTTTTAAACTCTCTGTATTCTGCTCCAAGGGTGGTGGCCAGCTTGTATAATCCTCAGTAACCTTTTTCACTTGGCATCTGTGAGGTGGGGATCATGGGCAGCAGGGGTGCAGGAGGGGTCCTAGTCTCAGCCGGGCAAGGAGCTACAAAGGGATCTTACTTTGTAGTGTTTGCACACAAATCCAGGGCTGGCACAATCTTCCAACCTAGTGTCCAGCACAGGCTGCCATGGATGACTAGATGCACTGCTGGGCTGTTCAAAAACAGCAACCGTCGTGTTCCCGGCTGTAGCGAGGTTTGGGGTGACTGGGAACCTCTCTCCCCTCACCCCCACTTGAGTGCATGTCTCTTCAGGAATGCGCCTTGCTCCATGTTTATAAATTGCTAATTCTGGCTGGGCGGAATAGGGATCAGCCAGGCGCTAAATTTAGCTGCGAGTGAAAAGCTGAGGCTGTGCCATGGCTGGGGTGTGTGTGAAGAAACGCATCCCCATTCAGCAGGAGCGCTGGGCCTGCCCCACGGCGGGGGCACAGCTGTGCTGGGGTCAATGACATCTTGCTTCGAATAATGAAAGCACTTTGGAGGCCAAGAGCATTTTCGCCAAGTTCCAGCCCACGGCAGATTTAACAGCCCAGTTATAAACTTCTCAGATGACAGCATGATGATAAAAACATCGGCAGAACCCAGCTAATCCCCACCAGCGCTACCGGGCACAGTTGTGTCGCTATGGTGTGGCGTGCCAGAGAAGCACATGTATATAATAACCCAGTTACACACAGGCGCATCCACCGCACAGAGACCTCTCTGTCCTCTCCAAACCCCCGACTTCTCACAGGCCACTGATCCTCTCTGGCAGCAGCACCTCCTGCTGCTCCCAGCCCCATCCCAGGTGAGAGGATTTGGCAGGCATGTCTGCAGAGAAAGCCCTGCTGCTTCCCTCCTGCCTGCATGTTTTATTCATCTATTTACTTTTGTATCCCCTTAACGCTTGCTTTCATCCGGGAAGTGCCAGCTCAGCATGAGGGTTGCATTACCTTTAAAGAGAAGGGGGGGGGGGGGTCCCTTG